GCTGAGTGGCATTTACCAGCAGTCTCACCTGTTGTCACACCCCTTTTGGCTCCTGGCAACAGTGGAGGCCGCCACAGGTAATCCTGGGTTTGAGGCGACAGTGACATTCTCAAAGGCGACACTCGCGCTGCTGTTCAAGGAATAGCCCAAGAAGCTCGGGAGCGTCTCGTCGGCGATATTCCTGAAGTCTTCCATCACTCTGCACAGGCTGCTCAGAACAGCACTCGGCCTGGCCACACCATCAGCCCCGGCCCGGCAGCATCTGCAGCAGCGGGAGCAAAACAGACACAGACTTACACAAGCCAACATGCTTTACTCACACCTCACAGCCGACGTTCTTTGGTAATCACCCCGCTTCATCCACAGACGTGCTTAAGAACCATTCCCGACCCTCTCCCGCCAAGACTTTGTTTTATAGCTTTCCTGGGCTGCCAAAAAAGAGCAGTGCTCCCGCGAGCTACAGAGAGCCGGCGCCGCGAGACGTGCCAGCCTATATTTAGGCTGTAAAGCCGCCCGGACCGAGGCGGGCAGAGCCTTCCTGCTTCCCTGGCCCCGGCAGCGAGCACCTGAGGCGACACAACCCCCGTGTGTCCCCCCGAGCCGCCGCTCGGCCCGGGAGCGGTGGGAGGGCTCCGGTTGCTCACCAGCAACGCGCCGCCGCGCAGGCCGGAGCTGGGAGCCGGCGACACCCTCGTACCCGAAACAGGAAGGGGTTGGTGGGCTCTGCCCTCCCAAGGGTCCCGCCGCCGCTCTCCCCGAAGGAGCGGGAGCGCCCACGGACGGACCGACCGCCAAAACCCGGACCCCGCCCCGCTCCGCGCCGCCGCCGCAGCGCCCCCGCAGGCCGGGCGGGCACCGCCACCCGCTCACCTGGCTCGACGCGGGAACCACCGCGGGACCGGGACCAGTCCCCTCCCAGCGCCAGGGGCGCGTGCGCACCTCCCACACCTTCCCGGTCCCGCCCTCCCTCCCGCCCGGCCAATGGGAGAGCCCCAAACAGCGCCCGCGATTGGCCGGCGACGGGACACGGCCGCGGGGGAGCAGCTTGGGGAGGGACGGCGGAGATGCTGATTGGGCGAAGGGCGCGCGGCACCGCCCAGCCCCGCCCCCCGGGCGCGTTCTGGCGTCCGTTAGGCGGGAAGCGGGAAGGGCGGGATGTTTCCCGGCATAATGGACTTTGGGGGGGTGTTTCGGGAATGAGATAATGACATCGGTTTGTTTTGTTTCCGTATTTGCTTTCAGGCCGGCCAGGCTTGGATCCAGGTACCGGCGAGTAGCTCGGGGTCTTCCAGGGAAAAGGCCGCTGAGCATCCCACCCGGGATGTCTGAGTAGGACCAGCCCACCTGGCCCGGCTGTCTCGGCCAGGGCACAGCCACCCAAAACGAAAAAAAAAAAGCTTCAGTCGGATTAATTTATATGATTTTTGTTTATTTATAAGACAGACGTTGTTTATGTTCCTCACTGTTTATATGTCCTGTTTTTGCCACGTGAGTCACTTAGATGAGGCTGATCAACAGAATCCCAGAATCGTTAGGGTTAGAAGGAACCTCTGGAGATCATCTGGTCCAACCCTCCTGCCAAGGCAGGGTCACCTGGAGCGGGAACGCGTCCAGGTGGGTTTTGAATGTCTCCAGAGAGGAAGACTCCATGACCTCCCTGGGCAGCCTGTTCCAGTGCTCTGCCACCCTCAACGTAAACAAGTTCTTTCTCTCGTTGAGGTGGAACTTGTTGTGGTTCAGTTTATGTAAAGTACATGGAAAACTTCATTTCCATCTTGAAGGGTAAATATAATGGGATTTTTAAGTAGAGGATGAGAAGGCAGCAGGTGCCTTCCAAACGTCTGTCTGTGTGTGTGTGTCTGCGTGTGTATGACAACAACAACAGATCTACACAAAATTCAGTGTTATCCAGGACATTTTTACAGTGCACTTCTACAGCTGTATTCCTGACATGGAGAAGGCAAAACCCACACATTCAACATCATCAGAAGTTCATACTGTGTTCAAATACATTCAAAACAAAACCAAACAACAAAAGCAAAACGACCACATGAAAAAAACCCAAAGCCTAATGGCTACTACAAGACCCAAAAACTTCTAGTCCTAGAAGTTCAAGCTGAGATGTGGTCCAAGCATATCTGGTGCTCTTTCTGTGATCTGAAAAGAGTATAAGAGATAATGTGTATCTTCTTTCAGAAGAAAAGGGACAGAAGCCTTACAAAGTGCTGTATAAATTCAAAATATCGCAAGTACCTGCTGGAATCACCCCTTCCTAAGACCTTCTATTATCGCCTTCCCTTCTAGGGGTTCTGCTGCTTATGGCCAAGGGCCCAGATCCTGCACAAAAGCACAGTTCAGAGTTTTGAGTCAATGAAGCAATACAGATCATAGAATCATAGAATCGATTGGGTTGGAAAAGACCTCCGAGATCATCGAGTCCAACCCTTGGTCCAAATCCAGTCCATTTACTAGATCATGGCACTCAGTGCCACGTCCAATCTGCGTTTAAAAATCTCCAGGGATGGTGAATCCACCCCCTCTCTGGGCAGCCCATTCCAATGCCTGATTACTCTCTCTGTAAAGAATTTTCTCCTGATATCCAACTTAAATTTCCCCTGGCGGAGCTTAAGCCCGTGCCCCCTTGTCCTATTGCTGAGTGCCTGAGAGAAGAGACCAACCCCCACCTGGCTAGAACTTCCCTTCAGGTAGTTATAGACGGTGATGAATGAAGAGGGAAGCATGAGTTTGAGGAAAGGAGGTGGACAGCCAAAGACAGTGACTGAAGGGCCCAGGTTTGGAGAGAGGTCAGTACAAAATAGCAGGCTGGGGGAAAGGCAGGCACGAGCCACAAAACCACCCTGAGTTTATTTGTTGAGGTCAAAGTACTTGGCCAGTTCATCCTAACATGACTTGTGTGCACTGCAACTGTAATAGCATGTTTCCATTAGTAAGAATTATGAATGGAACTAGGATATCTGACAGTACATGCTCATCACAGAGGAAAATAATGTGACCGTGCTGACTAAACTGTAAACAAATGCACTAGAAGCTGCAAAAATGCACAAAAGCTGCAAAAAAATTGTCATTTATTACTATCACTGGATATTCTGTGATCTTTTAAAGGGTTAAGACAGAAATTCTGCAAGTGGCTTAAACCTTCAAAAGTACATTCTACTGCTGGCATACGCAGAAAGAGTTTGTTCCTAACAGTTGTTAGGAATGAATCCCATAATAGTTTTGATAGGTTTGTTGGGTTTTTAATTATTCATTCTCTCCCAGAGGAATAGTTACTTCCCACCCTCCATTTAAACTTTATTTTCTAATCATGTAACATTTCTGTTGTTTACGAAGTATGGCACAGTTTTATAAGTGTTAACTTTTTCTGGTAAAAAGGTATAGAACTTTTTTCTTCCACAGTTCTGTTCCTGCTGGCTGGAAAGTATCAGCAGCCTCCCTTCACACACCGTAAGCAACCACCCCTTAAGACCAGTGTACCTTGTGGTTTTTTAGTAAATTGAGACTAGACTCCTCAGAGAAAAATAAGGAAACAAAAGTGGTGGATCTGAACAAATAATGTTTTCAGAATACAAGTAAAACTCACAGGAACGTGCTGTCACTTTGGAAGGATGCAGGCTGCCCTCTCCGTTACCTTATATTAGTGCTCTACTCCAGGAAATATCATAAACCCATTCTGAAGCACATTGAGATACACTATTACACTTTGGATTTCTGCTGCACAGAACCCTCCTTTTTCCTTCCTCCCCCGAGATCTGCCGAACAAGCTTAGCAATTACATCCTGTACAGTAATGCTACTCCCTAGAACTACCACATGCTCTTTGTCCAGTGTTAGCCTTCCACCTGTCTTGCACCAACATCTGAGTCAATGCCAACACGCAGATACACAGGAACTATGTTTCTGTTTTGGAACACATCTTTTAAGTCAGCACTCTTTCTTCGAAAAGTCCTAAGTGATTAAGTCAGTCACTGAAAAAGAATTATGAGATAATGTGAAGCCCAACAGCTCTAGCGGTCTCCACAAACCTTCAGCATCCATTAGAAAAGTTGGAGCACATTCTGTGGCAGACACATGTAATATGCATGCACATCTGGAATGGCACATGACAGTACAAAAGCAGAGCTAGGAGAATGGACACCTGAATCCAAACCCCTCCTTCATCAGGAACAGATTAAAAAAAAGCCTATTACAAGGAAAACTGTACAAATACAGATCTTTCAGAACAAGTTTATTAGTCAAACACAATTATAAAATTTAAATATTTATACAGCAAGATGGAAAATTCTAAAGTAAAACCAAACGCGCCAAATTATTTAGCTGCAGTATACACAGGAATGGTTTTGTTTCCTTTATGAGCTGATCCAGTATCAACTTTTCTCAACAATTTCTTGAACACACATTTAATTCTGAGAATGTGTTTCACATGTCAGTGCAGTATACAAAAAGAAAAAATTAAAGACCGTACTGAACTGATTTCAAAAAGAAAAGAAAAAAAGAAAAAAAAAGAAAAAAGGACAGGCACATTGAAGTCAGCTACTCCATAAATAGCTCATGGCTAATACTGTTTGTATGTGTTGCCATAGTTCAAAGGGTACAAATTAAAATGTTCCTTTGATACACAAGTAACAGGTTCTAAATCTTGTTGTTTGTTCTGCAAAACATGCATGAATTTCCCAAATTTTTTAAAATCTTCTGTACAAGAGAAGGAATACAAAGGCAGCCAGAAATGGAAGCATTCACAAACACCAGAGTAAGGCCCTTCAGAGTTTATTTAAAGTAACATGTTAAACCCCTTCATTCTCAGGTAATAGATTAAGAGGCCGAGATACACATCGTCTGCGAGGGTGAGGATACTGGAGGTTGGCAGTGTCAGCATCGCAAGATTGCTCTATCAGAGGAGGAGGAGGAAGGAGCTGGGCATGACTGGACCATCTCGATCCAGCCCGTGGGGAATCCAGAGGGGGAAAGAAATACCTGAAACAATTAAGAAAGGAACAAAACACCAAAACAAAAAACCAAACCAAAACAAAAAAACAAAACAAGAAAAAAAGAGAAAGGTAGTAAATACAAGGAGAACCAAAGGGGAGAAAAGACATGCTGGAAAAAAAAAAAGGCTTTAGTATATCCATGCCAAAACCAATAGAACATAATAGCAGAAATCAAGGCTTGTAATTCAAAACAAGACAAATCTGGAAATTGTTCTTTAAAGCAAAATAATACAGTCTTTTCCACTGAAATTTATAGAAAAGAATACCATAGTCATAGTTCTAGTATACATTTTTACAAAAGAAAGGATTGCTTTGGAAATCAAAAGGGTGGTGTGGTACAGCTATTAACAGGTTTTCATTCTCCCAGAATTTCTGTGATTTGTTAACAGCCTTCAGTAACGCTTCATTTGTGACACAAAATATACATTAAATATTACCAAAGTACATTTTCTGCATATGCATCTAATTCAGAGTAACTTCACAGCGTTTCTAGAATAGACGTAAAAACATCATTGTTTTTACATTAATACACATTTATAGAGAATAACTATTTTCAATGAAATACAGCCTTTGTATGTATTTACATATTGCTGCAAAATCCTCAGAGTAAATTTAAGATTCCTGGTGAGCGCAAGATTCGGAATTATGCCACTTCATGTCATTTTGCTGCTGTTTTTATTAGAACTTACCCGTAACACTTGTGCATTTTAGCATAATTATATTAGATACCTACAGATGTTTTCTCTCTTGTTTACAGTTCTGTGGACTTACAGAAAGGAAGAGCTCTTAAACTAATTAATGAAATTATGGGACAATTCACAACAAGCTGCATTTTGGTTTCTACCTTCATATGGCTAAAGTGTTTGCATTTTTTAAGGATACTATGTTTAGAGAATTTTAGGTGCTCCATGGAACTATTACCATAGGAATGTACAAATACATATCAGAAAAAGTACTTCTCTTATGATGACGAAAGTATGACAGTACTCATAAAACATTTATTTGAAGTCATACTAAGGGATATAAATGAAGCAATACCCAAACTACTGATAGCTACCATCTGTACAATTGTCAAAACAGTTTTCTTATTCCTTTTAAACTAACAGTTTCATATATTACAAAGCAGTTACAACCTTGTAATGTTTCGGAATCTTAATCGAATGCTGAACGCTATGAAATGCAAAACAAATTAGTTCTCAAAACAATTTTAATGGAAGTTGTTATAATGGTCATTTCCCTCCTCCCATCCCAATCAAGGACAAAAATTCTCATTTTTAATCATGAACTAGTCTTTTAATTTGACAAGCTTTCATATAATACGTTCTGATGAAAGTTTTGGGGTTTGGGTGGGTTGTTTATGGGTTTTTTTCCAAACAAGAAGCCTCTCCAAATATTTTTCTATCAGGAGTTCCAATAGTATCAAACTGTGCAGGCTAGTACAAAAAAGTGTACACAACGTGTTTTAAAAAGGCTTTTTGAACAGCATTTAGTAGTTAGCAGGCTGCTGGTGTCTTGGGAGAGGTCAAACGGCGTTGGGGAGGGGAAAAAGGAGTTCGTTTTCCATTCCTGTGTGCATGCAACAAGCAGCAAAACACCAAAGTTACTCCAGTTAGCTTGGTATCAGCTCTGCTTTCTGTTAAAAAGGACATAATACAAATGGAGAATGGAAATTGTATCATAAATCTAGACACACAATTACATCAACATAACAATATTGCCCTACTGATTTATTTCGCAACAATCTACATCACCTGTTCTGAAACTTAATTTTGAGTACAAATCCAGTGTGGTGATCGTGCTTTTACAAACTTTTTCAGATCTGCATATTCTTTAGCTGTTTTAAGTGTTTAAATGTATAGACACTGAAACAGCATGTAGAGTCACAGACAAAATAAATTATGTGTAAGATACCTATTCAGTGTCAATCTTTATCAGCGTCTTAACACTAACACAAAAGTTGACAACTGTGCTTACGCAATTCAAGGCAGTGTTACTACAAAGAAAAACACGGAGTTAAGGCATATATTTTTTATAGTAAGGCTCAGTCCTAGGACAAGACACCGTATGTTTGGGAATTCCACAGCCAATGACATAATTTTGGAATTAACGTTTTGTTACAAATTGGAGCCAAGAATAATTTATTAAAAAACAAAACAAAAAGCCCTCCAAAATGCAAAGCAATCGAGGGAGTCTAAAAATAATGCTAGAAGTTCCAGGTTCACAATGGCTTACTACCAACTTCATGGACAGGAGAAGAACCACCAAAAGGGTGGGGTAGGGAAGGGCAGTCTTGCTGGCAGCACGCTTTAGATAAGGAGATTGTGAAACCACACCCTATGCAAAACGAGTATAAAATAGCCTGTAGTTCCCCACAGGAGCCCAAACAAAGAGTTACACAGCTCTGAATATACTATTCCCAAGATAGGGCTGTATTTCAGCATTTTTTTGCTACACTGTAAGTAGAACATGGAACCAGATGACCAATATGATTCTGATGCCCTTTTTTGTGGGACCATTACCACCCCTCGCTGTCCCATTTATCTTGTGAGGAAAATGTGAAAGCCCTCCTCTGCTCAACACAGCTAGGGATCTGGAAGCCAGAAGTGGCGTTCAGGATTGACTGCTGAAAGGGAAGGAGAGGCAGGGAATGATGACACAGTGCTGCTCTCCAAAAGCAAACTTTACTGATCAGCATTTCAAACCGAAAGAAAGCCACGTGAGTAGCTGCACACGGATGGAAATGGAAGCTATGCCAAGGCAATAGAAAAAAAAATAAAGGTGGCCACAAAACTTGGAAACTGCAGCTACAGAATTTGGCCACATCTAGTCCTTGCATAAGATTTACAGCCCTGTAAAGCTGAGTGTACAGACTCCACCATGCAGAGGAGGGGCTCAGAGTATTTCTACATTTCGGTGTGCACAAATTTAAATGTTTCTTTTTCAGAAGAGGCAGTTAAATTTACCTACTTAAACAGCAATTATTACAGAATAAAAACCTAACAGAGATTAAAACAAATTATCTGCAATACAAATGCCATATAAGGAAGATTAAAAAAACACAAAATTGATGCTACACCTGCGAAAAGCAAGTTAACTAACAGTAGTATTTGATTGTTGAAACCATACATTATGAAGTAGCTTTTCCTCCTTCCCTTCTGCTACATTATCCCAGTGAAAAACAGAGTTTGTTGCTGGTATTTTTGCTTCACTTTTAAACGCGAATCTAAAGCAAAAGGGCAGTTATACAGCAGTTATGATGAAGCTTCTTCTTTGAAACTATTTCAGAAATGCTGTTTTTAATAATGTGAAAGGACTAGAAGTGAAAATAGTTGTTTACGTTGCTTATTTATGCATTCTGATTCAGCGTGGCTTACGGTTTTGTTCATTTTCCCCTTAACAGTGGCACAGCAAGACAACACCACAAAGCAAAATCAGAAGAGCCTGCAGAAGTATTGCACTTTGAAAAAATGTAAAACAAACATGAAAGCTAAGTGAAATTAAGAAGATTCAGAGAAGAGACCATTTAATGAAACTCAGTCTCCCTACTAATTAACCTACCTGCTGGCAGATGATCCATTTAGTGAATTCTGTAGACTTGTATTGGCTGAACCTAGAGAGGCATTAAAAATTCCCTGCTGAGAACTACCATTCACCGGACTCCCATTACCTTTCAGAATACCAGTACACTTCCAGTTGTCCATGTAATTAGCTGCAAATATAGATATATAAAAACTGTTAGTTTCTCTTCTGAAGCTCAGCATTCCCTACAAATATGTTTCAACTACCATACACCTGGTGTGAATCAGAATGGAACTTCAATGCCAAAATAAAAATTCCAAATAGCTGAGGATCTGGCCCTTTAGCTGTCTGATACTTTTTGGCTATCCACAACTTAAAACTGAGTTTCCACTACTAAAATACTGAGAAATGCGAATGTATAAGGAGACTAGCAGTGGTTTTTTTTTGGTTTTGTGTTTTTGCTGTTGCTTTTGGAAACGTAAACTGAAAAAAAGCCAGTTTGCCTGAACATTGTGACATTTTCTGGGTTTAGCATCAGAAAATCACAGTAATGCAGTACATATGTTACTTTGTAAAATTAAAATTTTATATAGCTCTAGTCTGGTGAAACAATTTCAGGGTACAGGAACAACTATTTGCAACAGCCTAAATCATGCAAGTGTTCCAGCACAGAAAGTTATTTTCTTTTTCTGAAATGTAAACACAAATATAAAAAAATTCACAAATCTAAAATGAACTTTCCCTCCAAAATTATGTTTTGAGTAAAATTTCTCCAGTATATCCAGCATACTACAAAGTTAATATAATATATGTCAATGGGTAACCTTACCCTTCCAGAGCCTAACACAGCCATCATCACCAGAGGAGGCAAGCACTGTGCCCGTAATATTCCAGCTCACTCGCCACACCTGGGAGTTGTGATTATCAAACTGTGCCACAATATGAATTTCAAATTTTGTTAATCCTCCCGATGAAGTCAATTCTTTCCTGTTTAAGAGAAAAGTGATAGTTCTGCACACACCTGTTCAAAGGTCTGGGTTTGAACATGATGACAGAAAGAGAGGATACATCTTTCAAGTAGTTTATACAACTGTTACTAGATGAGGAGTGCTAAGAGGGTATTTAGACAAAAATTACAGACTTGCTCACAATCTTGTCATCTTAAAAATCAGGCTGCTAAAAAAAAATCCTGCATACATTAAGTTACTACTGTTCCATCATAGATATTACTAAACTACTAAAATAAAACCATAATATCACATCATACCAAACCATCTTCCTCTTAAGCTCACCTTAGAGGTTTTAGCGTGAAAATTCGTACATCTTTGGTTGCTACAGCCAAGATATGGAAGGATCTTCCCAGATTTGGAGCAAATGCAATATCATGTACAGGATCTGTGACTGTCATCAAAGCTTCTGCTTTTGCATATTTTCTGTACAGCATAGGAAAATAACTTTTAATGCCATCAAAACTGCCAGTGATGCAGGTTACATAAACCAGACACAGGGGAACAGGGAAAAAGGGTTAAGTATACATAAGACTTGCAAAAACAAAAGTATTTTCTTAAAAGAAATTGTAAGTAATAATTTCAAGCTGATTTCTTCAGAAATCAAATACATCAGATACAGTAACCACTAAAACCAGTATGCTAAATCATACAACAAAGCAAGGATTCCAGTACAAAGAACATTTTGTCCACAGTTGGAAAAGAGAAATAAAAAGATTCTTCCACTCACAAATCTAAAGGGAATTTGCATCTCAGCAACTTACTACATTTTCCGTTGTAAGCGGACGGCTACCTGCCTCCTCTGCTGTATGATAAACATGTATCCCATTTTTTTATTTACCACCAGGTAAGTTATAGCAACTTGTCTTTATTGTTAATGCACGGAGAGCATTGTCTGAAGGCAGGCATAAATCCACAAAACACCCTGGCTCTTTTCCCACACCAATCACTCTGAATCAAACACAATTTCTCTGTTATTTAACTGAAGTGATGGTGCACACACTTCCTGGCCTTTTCTGGTTCTGCGAACTCTTGACTGTGTGAACTTTCACAGAACATTAGAAATTCACAGGACTTTCTGATATTATAATCATGCCTTTAAAATCATCTTAAGGTGTCTTTGAACAAAACAGTGCCTCGTGCAACGCAGTTCAAATTTCAACTTTGTCCTCTTAATTCCTTGTGCAAAATTAAGCATAAAAATTAGGAGACAGCGAAACAATTCTTCGTTTAAAATTCTGGTAAGAACAGTGGCATTTCTTCACCGACATGGAATAAAATTATCAATATCATATATGTAAACATCAGCTGCCATTCTGAGGTCTTCCTCTCTTTTCCCATCCAATGGCTCATAGACAAAATTAAGCTATTATCATTTACTACTTCACATCTAGTGACAGAAATAAAAGACCATATATTATAAACTACTTTATGATCCCACAAACATTACACATTTAGCATACCTGGTATTCTCGTTATATTCATAAATTTGAACCTTTGCCAATATATTTGGACTGTTGTCATCACTTCCTACAGCTATCATTGGAGAATGTGCTCGAGAGCTAAAATGCAAACACAAATACTGTTAAATTCACAAATGATTCCACAGAAAGTTCACCAAGCAGTTTTTAAATTTAAAACACTATAAAAAAACCCCAAAGCAATAACAAAAAAATACAACAAGGGAAAACATCACAAGGAAACAAGTTAAGTGCTATTCATAGTTACCAGTATCTCCACTCTGATGTTTTAAAAGCCCACTTTATACATTCACTATGGTGAAATGATTAGGAAACATTATTTGGCAATTCAAGATGATGTTCCCAGAGAGGAGGGTTGATTTCATATATGCATGGTGCAGTCTAGTATTTGCCACAAGTTTCATGGCAGAGTGTGCACTCTTTGCACTGCTTTTAATGACTGATTAGTGTCATTTTGTTCAGGTTTTGGAACACAGCTTACACAAGCTAAATGTATATGAACTATAGTTTTTAAATCAACTTTTACCTCTATTCCACGCACTAAAGTGAAAGCCTGTATGTACTCTGAACCTCCAGCACAGACTACTACTAATGAATAGAAGAATAACTGGATCAGCAGGACACAACATTATGTCTACAGGGGAAGCACTTAAGTGCTTCTGGATGAACAGAATCCAAATTAGTTCAGCCTTGAATTGTTTTTCCCCTCCTGTTATTGCTGGGGGAGGATATGAGACGGGAAACAAAGGAGAACCTCTGCATGCAAGTGTTCTTTTGGATAGGGACTACCCAACTGGACTCCCCTCTGATTCTGTCCAGTTCAAGAAAGTTAAGTACATCATTGAGCCCCCCTGAGGATAGAACTAAAAGAACAACTCTTGGGCTTCATATTTGTGCTAGCAAGACTCTTGTGGCTCCTTTTACTCTGCTGCACTGGCAAGGGTTCATGTGCTTCTTGGAGTTTTCAAAATTATTATCTATTGCAACACCATTCTAAATGAAAGAAGAAAAACACAGGAATTGTTCCTTTACAAACACTTTCTTTTATCAAAATCCCAGTTCAGTTTTATGGGATAAATAAAAAGCACTCTGTAGCTTTTTAGGTTGCTACTTGTTGAAAATAATTAAACTGAGAATATTTCCTCACAGAGCACAGGAGGATTATTTGTAACACTTCTCTGGCTCTCCCAAACTTCCTTTATTAAAAGAAATTTCAGCAGAAAGTTTCAGATGTACCCAAACGTACACTCAATCTTCTCCACAGGATTTATTCCACAAAAATTCAGAACTCACTCCTCTGCTTAAGCAGTTATAAAGCAAAACCTATAGTTTTAATAACATACCTTGAAGGATTCCAAGAAATACAACTGCAGCTTAGCTTACATGAAATTTCATGCTGCAGGGACCACTGACTGAGATTCATCACATCTGGAGCTTCATAAATCCTTACAACTCCATCTGCTGAACAGGTTGCTAACATAAGACCCATATGCTTGGGAGCAAACTTCACATCTGTAACAGATGTCCTACTGTCCACTAGAGTGGTCCTCTTGACCTGCAAAGAAAAGACAGAGATTCTTCAGAGAAATGCTAGAAATTTCCATCAAAAACTTATTCCCTAAGGAAGGCTAAACAAAGTCTGACAACGTCATTTCATAGGATCACTAACATCTTCCATCAAAAACTTTAAAAAAAAAAAATAAAAATCTTTTTTCACCAACAAATTGGAGAAATGACAGATCATCGTTACAGTGATGCAAATTCAAGCATCAAGAGATACCTCACTGTGATATCAAACTTCTGATACCAAAAAGAATTGTTTAGATTATGCTCTTCAGGAAAAGAAAAAAGCATCATCATGTAATATAAGCACAAAATAAAAAAGTACTGGCCAGAGGCAGTTTCAAACTATCCTCTTCATTCATACTGGTGACAACATTAACTGCCCTGTCTAAGGACACCACTTCATAAATTCAGCACTGTTGAAAGTTTATCATGAAGCATTTTCTCACTGAAGCACCGAAATAAGTGCTTCTGATAAGGGAACAGGTAAATGCAGCAGGCATTGGATAGGATGAATAGCTAAAGGGGAAAAAATTGTAAACATTTCTTTTTCAAGTAATTTCCTCTCCTGCCAAGACAGCCTGCTGAACCTGGTTTGAGCTGAAAACCATGATCACAACTGCACATAGAAGTGAACTTTCATAATCCACGGGTGCCAACAGTCTTGACAATCCAACTCCTCACAATATGTATTTTAACATTAGAAAACTTTAGCAGAAAGTAGAAAACTGCAGGTATTTTAGCAACTTAAAATAAAACATTAGAGGCAGGAATAGTACTACACATAAAGCATAGCTGGAAAATAGTCTGTTTAGATCTAAAATTCCCATGATGAAATGATATCCTGAAAATCTACTTCTGAGCAAAATTTTTTATTTACCAAAAGAACCTTGATCTATTGTTTGAAAGACGAAAAAGACCAGCATGAGACAGTTTTGAATGAGCTCGTTTAAGAACTTAAATTCTACTGTAGATAGAAATTCACATTTGCAAGTTGTTTGCCAGGGAACATCTTATTATGAAACACCAATAACAGTGACAGTTGTAAAAATACTTACTTTATATTGGAGTATTGCTACAAATGAACAAAACATAGGCAAAATCAGGAACGCTTTATATTAACAGAAAAAAACTCAAGTCTCACCCAGTGACTCTGGCCTCGGAGTTTATCATTTGACTCTCCCACAATTTCTTCCCATACAGCTGCTGTTCTATCAAAAGAGCAAGAAACCAAGACCTGCCCAAATTCAGGATGTGCCCATGTCACACGCCACACAGATCCACTATGGGTCTGCAAGAGAACATCAAAACACTGTAGAGAAGCATACTTACTGCACTAGTCCAACAGACTATATATTTTTATGAGCTTCTGCAGAAGGGAATTCCTGTTCCTTTGAAAGCTCTGTTCTTTTATACCAAGTTACACAGCAGCTGTTGCATTTATTTCAACCACCACTGCAAGGTTTTGTTGCTATTAATAAGTGTTTAAAAAGCAATTATTACAAGTGTTTTTCAAAACATTATTTATTACTACTTTAAGTTCCAAACTAAGATTCTGCCTTGATGTAAAAAGTTGTGCTTTGTTTTCGGTCCATTTTCAGCCATTACCATGCTTACTTCTAACTTGCCTATACTTTTCAAAAGCATATGTAGAGCATTGCTTATCTTCTTTTTAATATGAAGCTCCTCTTTCTACCTATTCAACCTTCTTTTCTTAGAGAAGGGGAATTCAAAAGCTTCACTTGCATTTCCACTTACAGGTATGAATGCACTGTGGTCCTAATAAATACAAATTTAAGGACAATTCAGAAGCTGAATGCACTAATTATCCAGATGAAGCAGAGTCTCTATATGAGTTCTCAGAAAGGTTTTGGAGGAAAAAAAAACAGAGGTCAGATGTTGTAACATTTAACAGCCAGACCTCTTCCTTTTTATTTTTTCCCTTTTTTTTTTTTTAAGTCTTACTATATGCAAAAAGGAGAATATTCAATTAAAAACAAAGGTACTGTTTTTCAACTCCCTAAACCAGTTACTGTTATGTTTACTGATACCAAAGTCTGACAACATAACTAAGTACAGAAGACTGCATGTTAGCCTCTGCTTTAAATGAGAGGTATTAGAGATGTTTTATAGAAGCAGAGAAAAAGTATTTCACGTAAAACATACAGAATCTACAAAAAACCAAAATTATTTCTACTATATAAGTCAGCAGAAATGAAGCACGTTTCTTCAAAAACAAAGGATAAATTATGGTTATGTCTGTGTAATTTTTATAAATACAAACCTTCCAGCTGGCAGTGCAATGCCAATCCCCATTTTCACTTTTGTCCCAGACCTATTGAGAAATCAAAACACAATCATACAATTTGCAAATAAAGCTTATTAAATAGTACCTTAAAAACACAGCCATACATATATATATATACACATCAAAAAAATATAAATAAGAATATACATGCATACCACTAGACATTTTCATCTGGAAAACTGTACTTGGCTCAGTACACAACTGCACCCTTGAAAATATCCCTACTACAGGTCAGGAGAAGAGGCATCGCCTGTAAAATCCACTATTGTATGACACCTATCTTTAAAAAAAGTAATTTACATGGAATAGAAATTATTGCCATTCCCATACTTCATTCACCGTTCCAAAAGTACACTACTCAGTTTCACTCTAGAGCCTTGACTGTCCTCTGGTGCTCAGCTCTGGCTGCAAAACTCTAATGCAGCGCCCAGCACCCATCCCAAAGACAGAGCAGGACAGCAAAAAGAAATCAAGGTAGTGGGGGAACAGATTTGTTTCTCTTTCTAATATTTCTGCCTTGATTTATAACCATATGCCGAACTTTCCCCTCTCTTGATTTCCCATACATCTTCATCATATTTATGACTTTTTTATTGAAAAATTATGAAGGAAGTCATGAACATAAACAAATGAAAGACACCTCTAGAAGTCTGCCATCCACTCCTGTTTGTCACTCGTTCACTTTAAAGCTTTACTGGAGCCCAACTCTGTAACTTTTCCCCAACTCCTATTCCACAGGGCCCACGTAATGAGAACAAGACCTGTACAAGTGCTGTAAAACTCTGGTTAGAGTGAAACTTCTGAAGACCGTCTCATAAAGGATTCAGTTACGACTGGAAAGTAACATTACAACGCTGAAGAACATAGTCACTGCACTCTATCTACCTCTTGGCATCTTTCTTAACAACATCCCTTTTAGGTTGCAAGTTCTAGGTAGTCAGTCCAAACCAAAGACTTACACGGTTTTGGCTTACTTTTTGGGGGGACTATTTTGTTGTTGTGGTTGGTTATTTGCTTTTTAATCTGTGCTGAGGGACAAGGGGCTGCTCGCTTGTTTTTAAGTATGATCTGAATGTGACACAGCTTTCTACGGAAAAAAACCCCAAACATTTTCTCAACCATTTACCCGATCTAAGGAAAAACATGACTGCTCTTTAAATTACATTTCTTAGTAAGAAATATCCATGTAACCGCATAATCCCTGTAACTCCTGAATTTGTCTGTCTTCTTGCTATGCACAAAAAAGGGAAAAGGCAGTCAACTTTTCGTTTAAACAAACATAAACTGTTACTTTATTTCCTCTAAAGGAATTAAGATATGCAAAAAATTTTACAGTTTCCTTCATCTGCCAGAGCACACGTGAGCACTTCAACTTCAGCCTTTTGCTTACTGGCACTTAATTATGAAATAGCATCTTCTTCCCTTAATAAATACAGATTATCGGCGCTACATTATGAAGCAGTAGTTTCTTCCCTTAATGTTAATAAACACAGATCTTCAGTTGAATCAACAGAACAAGCGCCACGGCCGCGGCCACAAGAGCTCGAGAATGTTTTCCTAGGTGGAGCCGTGGGTGGGAAGCGGCGTTCCCGTGTTTACAGGCGTTCGCGCACACAAACACACGTGCCGTATGTGCGGGTGCCTCCCGCCTCCTCAGCCTCCTGGACCCACAGCCCGTCACCGTCCCGGTGCCTCCCGCGGGACGAGCCCCCGGCAGCCCCTCGGCCCCGCCGGCTCCCCGGTAGGCCGTGCGCCGCTGCTGCCGCGGCACCCCCGTAGCCGGCACAAGGGCCGGCGGGTCCCGCTGACCTTGACGCTCTGGTCGCTGGAGCAGGTGGCCATGCGGCGGCCGTGGAAGTCGAAGGACACATCGTGGATGAGGTCGCGGTGATCGGCCGCGATGCTGCGCGCCACGAACATCCCGGCGCGGCCGCCACGCGGGGCGGAGGGCGGGGACACGCTCGCGCGCGCAGCCGCCGGCGCCCGCCGCGCTCGGGGGGGCGGGCCCGCGCTTGCGCGCTCCTCCCGACCGCCGGGGCAGGGCGGGGAAGGGACGGGACGAGGCTGGGACGCGGTGGGGCGGAAGGGTTATCGCGGGTCAGGGCAGGGCGGCCCTCTGCGGGAAGTTACGCCCTCCAGCTGCGACCCACCGCGACAGGGCCCTTCCCGTAGAGACAGGGCGAGGGAACATAGCGTGAAAGCTGCTCCAGGGAGGTTTGGGTTGGACGCCAGGAGGAATTTCTTCTCAGAAACGGTGATTAAACACTCGAATGGGCTGCCCAGGGAGGTGGTGGAGTCACCGTCCCTGGAGGTGTTTAAGGAAAGACTGGACGTGGCACTCAGTGCCATGGTCCAATTGACGTCGGGGTGTTCGGTCACAGGTTGAACTCGATGATCTCAGAGCTCTTTTCCAACCAAATGGATCCCGTGATTCTGTGTGGTTCCCAGCCCGGGCTTGCAGGCTCTGCAAACAGCGCCGGTGCGTGTGGCGCCCTGTGGAGCGAAATCCCTTCAAACAGCGAATCTGAAAGCTCAGGAGCTCGCCGTAACAATACGGGTCAATAAAGAAGCAAACTCTCAGCGCGGCAGTGTGTGATGGACCGCATTTGCTTCTTTAATAATTTACTGGGTTAATGGATGCTGTCAGATGAGCCCTCTGGTGCGAAAGAACGTGAGACCTGCTTCTCGAGGAGAGGTATATAAGAGATAAGTTTGGAAGGTTTTATAAGAAGGATGAAGCATGATGCACGCAGGGGAGGAATCCCCAGGCAGGTTGGAAGCTCCTACAAGGAAAGGCTGAGAGAACTGGGTTTGTTCTGCCTGTCAAAAAGGAAGGCTTCGGGGTGACCTAATTGTGACCTTCCAGTACCTGAAGGGAGCCTGCAAGAAAGATGGAGAGAGACTTTTTACAAGGGCATGTAGTGACAGGACAAGGGGCAATGGCCTTAGAATGAGGGTAGATTTAGATTAGATATTAGGAGGAAGTTCTTTGCTGTGAGGGTGGTAAGACACTGGAACAGATTTCCCAGAGAAGTTGTGGATGCCCCATCCCTGGAAGTGTTTAAGGCCGGATTGGATGGGGCTCCTAAGCAACCTGGAAAGGTGTCCCTTTCCATGACAGGTGGGTTGGAACTAGAGGATCTTTAATGTCCCTTCTAACCCTGGCCATTCTGCGATTCTAAGTGAGACAAGGTGAATAAGATCCAGACTATGAAGTAGAAGCAGAACAGAGACTTTCACATGGTAGAAAACTCATCCTGAGTGACTGAGCTCTGGGCAGAAGCCATAAACTGATAATTACTGGCCTGTAGTCAGTGCAAAATGAATTAACTAAAAGCAGATGGAGACTCATGAGAACTCAGCACTCTCACTGCTGACCTACCACCTTCCAGGGAGCTCCTCACCAGCAGAAGCACCTTCTTCCAATATCCTGCAGTATCAACTCACAAACTGGATCATGCAGCTTACAGTGCTAATATTTTTTAAGTACTATTCATTCATTGTATCACTGAGGACAAGACCATTCCAGCATCTTTTTTTAAGAAATACTGTACAATCCAAATAGCAATAATGCAGTTAGTAGGTTTAAGAGAAAAACTAAATAATAATGAAATTATGGTGGTGGTAATAAACAAATAAACAACAGCAAACACAGTTGTGTTTAACTGTTGTTATATTTCAGTTCCAAAACAGTACTGAAGTCATTAGGACACCTTCATTACCTTATTCTTATGATACAGTTTTCCAATCAGCATGAAGTAGAGAAGGAAAAAGAATGAGATGCTGGAAAGCAGTGCCATGGGAAAGGACCTGGGGGTCCTGGTCGATGGTGAGTCAGCAGTGCCCTGGCAGCCAGGAGGGCCAACCGTGTCCAGGGGGGCATCAGGCAAAGCATCACCAGCCAGTTGAGGGAGGGGATTGTCCCGCTCTGCTCTGCACTGGGGCAGCCTCACCTTGAATATTGTGAGCTGTTTTGGGTGCCACAATATAAAAAAGATACTAAGTTATTAAGTGTCCAAAGGAGGGCAATGAAGATGGCGAAGGGCTGTAGGGGAAGCTGTATGAGGAGTGGCTGAGGTCACTTGGTCTGTTCAACCTGGAGGAGACTGAGGGGAGACCTCATTGCAGTCTACAACTTCCTCATGAGGGGAAGAGGAGGGGCAGGCGCTCATCCCTTCTCTGTGGTGACCAGTGACAGGTTGCGAGGGAATGGCCTAAAGTTGTGTCAGGGGAGCTTTAGGTTGGATATTAAAAAAAAGGTTCTCCACCAAGAGGGTGGCTGGGTACTGGAACAGGCTCCCCAGGGAAGTGGTCACAGCATGAAGCCTGACAGAGTTCAGGAGTTGTTTGGGCAATACTCTTGGGCACATAGTGTAAGTTCTTGGGGATGGTCCTGTGCAAGGCCAGGAGTTGGACTCAATGATCCTTGTGGGTCCCTTCTAGCTCAGCATATTCTGTGATTCTATGAAATAGAAAGTTCCCTGAAATCAGATGTATTTTTATTCTCTTGATTCAAGTCTGATTCAGACCTTTTCTAGAACATTTTTGGAATCTGCAGCTTTAACAGGAGATTAGTTTTACCATTTTCAAAAGGATTTTTGATTCTCCCCAGCTCATTTAAAATTTTCACGTTCCATCATGGCAAAGAGAAAGTCACATTCTGTCCACCTGGTGAATAGAATTTATTCAGGGATGTCCAAATACTTCACAGAATTGTAAAGAAACCATTACCTGCTTGTAGAGTAAACCTGACAGTTTGATATTTAATGCACTGTAAACTACATTCCATAGGTACTGTTGGAGCTGCTGTTATCACGTGCCATAGGGATCACTTCACTGTTTCTGCATAACCTGCATTATTAATATGCAAGTATTTAACACCGTAATGCATATGTTTCATTGTCAGGCCTTATATTAAGACTAAGTATGCTGGTACCCAAATTTGATAAGGAATTAAAATAGATTAATGATAATAGATTAAGATAAATGACAACAAACTTGGACTTGAAGGGACACTGTGACTTTAAAATGCTAGGACTTAATTATTTGTAATGATACCAGGTAAGGAAATGATAATATGTTGAAGAGTATTTTCTTGGCCAAGTACGGGGAATAAGATATAAAATGTTCTCAATTACAGAGAATAGCAAATATGGAAGGATTTAAAAGAAGTTACTAGCTGGTTTTATATTCTTATCCAAGTTAGCCAATGATAGTTTTAAAATGGTATTTTTTTAAAATACTGCAGAACTTAATGGAGAACAACAGCTGGAGTTCAAAAGAAGAATTTGCAAGTTGTTGTCAAGAAAATTTAGACATTTACGTTTTAGCTGTTTATATTAGTAGAAAATTTGGGTTGGATTTTGTAAATAACAGAAAATTTGCAAAGCGTTTAAAAAAATAGCTAATGAAAGGAAGAGGTTAACATTTTCTCGTTTCTGAAGATGAACTGGTATTGCACAATTCTTCTCCTGGAGGGAACCCTCCCTGTGGACTGTAGGGCCATGGTACAAGTACCCTTTTTTCCCCCTGCAATCACATGCAACGTGCACTTTGGAGGTTGACGTTTCACTATTTTCTAATAGGTAAAATTTAGGTAATACAATAGGAGAAGCAAGCATATGTGATTGTTCTTGATAGTTCCAGTGCTGTAATTAGAGAGATATTAAGTTTTTCATGCTATTCTCATATGTAAGAATAAAACAACAACAAAAAACCCAACAAATAATATTAATACACTTATTTGGATTGCTAAAGAAAAAGGTTTTTTTTACTCTTTCAGCAAAATTAGAGACATTTGTACTTTGAAACTTCAATTATTGCTTCATTCAAACAGCTGGAGAGACAGTGCCTAATAAAAACATTGAAGCTGATTTATAAGTTCTTTAGTTCGTGGCAGTGCATCTGAACAGTTGATTTTGTTAGCTCTTTTTGGGAAATGTCTTTTACAGTAAACCATTGGTTATATTTATAAAAAATTGTGTTTCTTTTTTTTCTAAGAAGAATTGTTTCCAGTCAGTGATTCAGCTGTCAAAATCCAGTTCTTTTGCAATTTTTAGTAATGATTTTATCAAGACTTTAGAGTATGTCACAAATTCTGGGTTAATATTCACCTGATTAAATTCAGTTTATTTCTTCAGCCAGTAATATCAGTGTAGTTGGAGAAGGGCAAAATTGTCAGACACAAATAATTGGCATCAATCTATTTCATTTGAATAATATATAAATGTGTAAATTTATATATTATTTAAATAATATATATATTTTGTTTGAACTGAAATGTTTGACTTTTCTGACAAGACATGGAAGTTGAACACTTCAAATCAAAATTAGGCGTTTTTTCTAACATTTTAGTTTGGTCAGTAAGCAAAAAAAAATCTTTTTATTTTTTTTAATACACATACACAATTATTTGTTAATTTAGTTACAGCCTACTCCTGACATCATTCTCTTGATTCAAAGCAGGTAAATCAGTTTAGATTTATTTAGAGACTGGGTCCAAAATCTTGACTTACTTAAAAAAATCCAGGAAACATGTGGGGGATTGTCATCCCAGAATGGCAGAATGTTAATTTACTGTTGTATCTGATTTCAGTCAATATCCAGGAATGATGTAAATACATTTACCTCACGTAGACATTTGTATCAGATGTTTTTTGTTAGTAGAAAGTCTGACACAGAATGAAGGTTCAATAGAGGAAATGCTTCATAGCGAAAAATCAGAATTAACAAAGGGATGAGAGGACAAGATAAACCCTTTGTTAAAGCAAGTAGTCATTAAATAGACAGTCAAGTAGGGTGAAAGGCATCCGGTCTAATGAAGAGGCATTCACATCTTCTGGGAAATGAAACAATGCTTGTTTTAATCCTTTTAAATGGCCGGACTATCTCTGGGATTAAAAGTAAAATAAAATCTGCTGAATAAGATCTAAGCTCTCTAGAC